CTATATATTTTTCTTTCTAACCAAATAGCCTTATGTAAATATTATCAGATAAGGAATGATCTAAAATCCTAAAATAATTATTCATTTTTTCCCTTTTGATAATTTGTTTCTTAATAATTAGCCATCTCACAAAAGAAAATAGAAAAACAAAACAAGAATAACTAATTATATACTTATGTCCACTTAATATAACATACCTTACTCTAATTTACGAGCTTTAATTGCACACTGATTAACCACGTAGTCATAAGTAACACCACGTGCACACCTCTTTCTTTTAACCCCATTACAATATGTCGTTAAAAGACGTTTATCTCTAATACTATTCAAACCCTGATGAAATTCTGCCCTTGTAATAGATTCTCGTCTTCTGAGTATTTCTTGCCAAGGAGCGACATTATCCTGTCTACTAATTTCCATTTCCTGAAGGTCTGTAATAATATTGTCTATCATAGCACTTTGACCAGCACTACTCAACTGTTCTGAAGAAGCTTCTTTTTTCTTTCTTAATTCAAAAAAATGTTCTTCATTAAAAGAATGATTTATAAAAATATCATCTTTTAACATATTGTATCCTTTTTTACTTGTAACTTGATCTACCAGAAACTCCATTTCTTTTTCTGATATATAATGTTTCTTAAGAATATCAAATCTATGTTTTAACCTATGTTTAGAAATGAATACCTTTGATTCAAATCCATTATTTGTAAACTGCCATTTATTCTTATTACTTTTGAGACTGTTTTTAAACCTCTTTTTATACTTTTCTTGTTCTTTCAACGTTTTAAATTGCTTGTTTACACGTAAATTTGAATACGTAACTGCATATTTACTTGCTTTACCATCCATCGAAACTTTTTTTGTATAAGACACGCCTACGCGTTTACTTATTTAACTTGACTAAAATTCTCAAACACATTTTGTGGTGGAGGTATAAGAGTTGCTATCACCTTCGAACGACAATTTTGACAAACTTTTCTATTTCTTGACATAACATAAGCATAGACGTTACTACAGAACGAGCATGGGATATAAAACCCCAAATACTATATTCATCTACCATGACCAAATTTAATATAAGTTGTAGTTTGTCTGTTCTTTTCTTGTTTCTTCAATCTATTTTCAATAACAACAAGTTTATCCAATAATAATTGGCATATTCTTAAAAAATACTTGTTTCTAGTTTCTATGTCAATAGGTAATCCACAAAATACACTCATCAAGTATTTTGAAATCCTGTATTTAGTATTCATCATAGGCTAATCTGAATTAATCAAAAAAGGCCTTTTATATTTCTTTATTATATGTCTATTATTAGTAACAATCGTCAACATATCTTTCTCTTTCTATAATGAATCCACATGTAAAAGGATATAGGACTTTCCTTTTCTGGTGGAATATAGCGTATCAGCTCCTGTGTACCATTTCACTTTTTCTAGACGGAAAAAAGTATAGCTGATAAAAATTTCTTTATTTGACATCCTTTATCTAATTGGTGCACTGTATTTATGCCTTCTTTTGAAAAAATTTTGCAAGAAAACAAACTTTTATGTCTTTAAAGAACTATTAAGCTCTTGTGATCTTGTTCGAACTGAAAAGAGTGATAATAAAAAATGTGTTGGTTAAACCAAGGAACACTTTTGTCTTAATACTAAAGAGCTATTTTTCTAGTAATTTAACGATAAAAAAGCATAATATTTCTTATGTAAAAAATGGACGTAAACGGTACAGGAGTTTTTTTTTTTATATTTTTAATGTTTCATTTCTTATTTTTTAAAAAATGTTAGGATTTTATATACATTAATTTAAAGATAAATTGAAAAGAATGGATTTTTTTATTTATTTAACTTTAAAGAGATATTTTTAATATTTTTTCATAAGAATATAATTTAAACTTAATTATTTTTTTATTTTATTTAGTTAATCTTAAAAGATACAAAAGATAATATTTAAAAAAAAAAATAATAATAAATTAATAGTTTCCATTTTCTAGTATTTAGTAAAATATCTAAATCTTATAAAGTAAAATATGATAGAATTCTGTTTACTTATAATAAAAATTACTATAGAAAATTGACTTTTTACTATAATTTTTATTTTATTTTTATTTTAAATTCTATTAGCTAATTAGCTAAAAAGAAAAAATTATAATAATATAACATAAAAAATTTTTTTATAGTAAAATCTGCCAAGAATTTTATATATAATTATAAGAATATAATTAATTTACACTCAAGGTGATTTTAATTATTTTCACTTAGAGTGATTTAACCTGATAATTTTATATAACAGATAATTTACCCGGTGATATCACCTTATTATTAAATTTGTATACGTGCATTCTATTAAATTTTATTGGCTAATTAATGTGCTGATCATTTCTGACTTATGTTTGTTTATTTTTTTTTAAATGTACTCAGATAATCTTTTTTTCTTTAGGTCCTTTCACTCCTTTGCATGGCACCCTTCTTTTTTTTCATTTTTGCTTCTTGCATTTTGTTTCCTACTAACTTTATTTCATTTTTTTAGGTCCTTTGGCTTTTTCGGTTTTGCAATTAAGTATATCCAGCACTACATGGCCATTTCTTCTTATTTTTTATTTCATTCTTGTATTTCATTTCTTACATTTTATATTTCGTTCTTTTTAAGCCTTTCAGTTCTTCTCTGCAACTACTAGGTATGTTTTTATTTTTTTGTTTTCATTTATTTATTACATATAATCTCCGCTTCCTACTAACTTTATTTCTTCTTTTATTTTATGGGTTTGATTGTTACTTGGTCCCCTGTTTATCTCATTTTGTCCCTTCTCCATTTTTTGCTCTCTTTTCGTCTCTTCATTTCTTTTACTCTTTTTGTTCTTCTCTTCCTTCATTTTTTCTGTTATTTTTATTTCCTTTTCGGTCCTTTCATTTTTTTTTTGTTTCCACTTTTTTTTTTGTTTCCACTTTGTTTTTTTCATTCTTTTCTTTTTTTTTTGTTCCTATTTCTTCTTTTTCATTCATTTACACTACCTCTCATTTGTTTTTATTTCATTCCCACTTCATCTTTTTCGTTCCTTTATACTGCCCTTCATTATTTTCATTTTTTTTCATTCCTACTTAATCTTTTTTGTTCATTTACACTATCCTTTATTATTTTCATTTTTTTTCCATTCCTATTTCATCCTTTCCATTTCTTCACACTACCCTTTATTCCTTTCATTTTTTTATTTCCCCTTTGCTCCATTTTGTCCCCCTTCATTCTTTTCATTTTTTTTCATTTCCACTTTATCTTTTTCGTTCCTTTCGTTCTTTCACTCTCCCTTTACTCCATTTCATTTCTCCTTCACTTTCCTTCATTTCTTTCATTCCCTTTTACTCTTCCTATTTTTTTCATTTACCCTCATTCTTTTTTCCCTTTTTCATTCATATATTCTCTTTTCTTTATCGTTGTAACTCATTTTTTTTTCATTCCTATCAAAAAATTTAGAATTTTGAATAGTATGAGTTTGTTTTTTCAATCAATAAGGGGCATGCCAGAAATCACGTGATTATGCTCAATTAGAGACCTGATTCCTCCTACCCACCATGTGATTGAATTCTGATTGGCTAAAAAAATACATACAATGTAATATATAATATATTATATTAATATATATATTATAATACAATTAGTTTGCTATCTAATAATCCAATTTGCATAAACTTTTTTTTATTTTGTAGCTCCATTTATGCTTTATAAAATAAAAAAAATTCATTAAAATTGAACTGCTATATAGTAAGTTAATTGCAAAAAAGCTTTTTAATAAATAAATTACATACTATATATTACATATATATTATAATACAATTATTTTACTATCCAATAATTCAATTTGCATAAACTTTTTTTTATTTTGTAGCTCTCTTTATACTTTATAAAACAAAAAAAAATTCATTAAAATTGGACTTTTAAATGGTGAGATAATTGCAAAAAAAGCTTCTTATTAAACAAATTATATATTATTTACTATAAAAGATATACTATTACCATAAAAGGTATATTGTGACACCTGATTGCAGGACTAAATCACATAATTTCTGGCACGCCCCTAAATCATGTAATCTATTAAAAATTAATAAATTGTTATAAACTTTTAGTGCGAAAGTATTTTAAGCACGTTTATTATACCATATGTGCCAATTTTTGGAATTAGTCTAAATTAAGATTTTTATAAAAATTTAATATTTTAGTAAGATTAACATTACACAAATCTAAATTAAATTTGTGTTACATATTTACGTAACTCAGATTTAATAAAAAATAAGAAAAATTTTTTTAATCAATATTCAAAAATAACGGTAATAACCACTTCTTTTTCTCCATCACTGCCCATCACTTTTCCATTATTTTTCTATTTACTTTTATTAAATATGACAAAAAAGTTTATAAGCAAATATAGCAGTTATTTTTAAGTGGTACGTAAAAGAAAAAACTTAATATTTTATATACATAAATAAGACATATTTTTTCATAATTTTTAGCTTTAATTTATTGTTTTTTTTTTGTAAAAAATACATGCAAATAAAAAATAATTATGATGTAAAATAGTTGTAAAATGAATAATAAGATATTCTTTTTTTTTCAAAATAACTAATTATATATTTGTTTTTTATCTTTTAAAATTATTTTATTAGATTTATTCTACTAAAATCCTTAAATGGCAAATAAAATCTTTTAAATAAAGTAAAAGAATTTGGGATTCTCTTATGAAAGCATTTTTTGGTAAGAAATAAAATTTTCAGATCGGACTTTATGCAGGTGACAAAATCGTGCATTATTATTCCTGGAGATATGCTAACGTCATCATTTTACATTCATTTGAAAGCTGAGAATTTGCTCTATCGTAAGAATCAAAGATCAGGAAAATTGGATCACTGGATGAGGCGTAATTAACGATCAAAGTCAAATCAAATTTAAAAATTAAAAATAAATATATTAGACGTAATTATTCACAATCCAGTGATTCAATTCATTCGATTTTAGGCTTATTAGATAGACCTCAATTTTCTCTTTTAAATGAATATAATTTCATTCGTGTAGCTTGCATCTACAGGTATTTAATAAATTTTTTTATATCAGATTTTATCAAACTTATAAAATTTTATATTAATAATATAATTGATGATTCCTAAACATTTACATATATTAAACGAATTATTTTAAATTTATTTTAAAGATAAAAGTTGGCATCACCTTAGGGAGCAAAGATCATTCAAATTGAATCACTACATGTAAAGTAATTAATGATCAAATTTAGATAAAATTCAATAAATATACTGAATGTGACTACTGAACAACTAGTAATTCAATTCACTTGATTTTAGATTCATTGGATAGATCTCGATTTTCTCTTTCAAATGAATGTAAATTTATTTGTATAGCTTATTTCTACAAAGAATTATCAATGATTTTGTCATGTGAGTTATATTTGATCCTTTAAATTTTAATGATATCTTATATTAAAAAAAAATTAAAAATTATATAATTAATTAGTTTTTTTTTGCATTATCTAGTATAAATTTATTATTCTTATATAAATAATAATTTATATTTGCTTTAATAAAATTATTTTTGTGTAAAAAAATTAGATTCCAAGAATCGGCCCATATGCAGTATATTTAAAAAAATTTAGCCAATCAAAAAATTTTAAAAAATTTATAGGGGATTTATATGCCAAATTATGAAGTGAGAAATATTAAATTTACACTAATCAAATTTAATAAATTTAATAAATTAATCGTGACCTGGGTGAAATCACCTTTAGGTGATTTCACCCCGAGTGCAAATTAGCAACATTCTAATTATAATTTTATAATTGAGATAGAACCTATCTTATAAGTAAGTA